GATCAGAAACCAAGGGAAGTTCCCTCTGTTATCTAACCTGAACCCCCCCAATAGTGGCAGATTGGAAGGTGGAGCGCAGGCTGGAAGGCAGGGACTAACCGGTGTGCTCTGCTCTCTGCTGAAGACTGGAGACCCCCAGGGCTCTCAGACTCAGCCACCTCGAGGTTAGGGCCTAACCTGCCCTGGCTCACTGGATGCCAGCAGGGACCCGACCCCTCTCCACAAGCCCCAGCCAGGAGTCGCTGGGCTCTCGGCTGCCAGGTGAGGCTGCCCTCCCATTGCACAGACGAGAAGACTGAGGCTCAGGAAGGGCAGCTTGTCTGAGGCTGAAGCGGGTGAGTGAGCCTGACCTCAACCGTGGTCTTCTTCCCCGACACCCCGCGGCCCCGAGGAAGATGCCGGTTCTGCCCCCAAGTCTGTCTTAGCTATAAGGACAGAACTTCTCACGTCCCTGGGAAGGGACCATCCTGTCCCAGCGACACACAGCCCCTACCCAACCTCTTTAGGGAGATGGGGCTCAATGCTGGGGGAGGGCAGGCGCCCAGCAGCCAGCTCCCTCCTGTGTCCTGGCCTCCAGAGCCCCGACCTTCTACCTGGCCTTGATTGGCAAGTCCCACGTTGTCACCACCCCTCTCTTTGGGTGGCCTTCAGAGCTGCTCCATGGGCCAGACAAGGTCTCAGCAGCCCAGCAGATGACTCCTTCCTGCTTTTTCTACTAAAACTGCCTTTCCCAGACCCCTCTGCTCCCACACAGTGGCCAGGAACACGTCCAGGGCACGGCACGGGCAGCTGCTCCACGGCTCCCAGACCAGCCTTCCCGGCCCCGGCTCCTGCCTCAGGCCTCCCCAGCCTCGGACCTCAGTGTCCAGCTTGATTCTCCTGCCTGAGACGGACGCCTTTCCCCATCACAGCAGCTAAAACTTCCTTGTAGGCTCTTCCATCTGCCACCCCCGCCTTGGCACTTGGGCTTGCTCATGTGACTAGAGGGACCGACTCTCGTCCCCTATGCCCCTCACAGCCCCAGCAAGGCAGAACCAATATCCAGACACCAAAGGGTGAGTCTGGAAGTCTGAGTGAGTAGCTGCTCTGTCTGTAATTCTCTGGCCAGTGGCCTGAGGCCCTGGATGACCTGTCCAACAGCCAGCCACCTCAGGGACAGGCCCCGCACCATGAGGATGGAGAAGCCACAACCACATAAGAACTGATGCATATTAACCACACAGTACTTCGTCCTTGCTAACCTACTTCCTTCTCCCCACTGCTACCCTACTGACAGAAGGCCCTGGGCTTGGAAGGAGAAGCTCCCCTCCCCCAGCCGCTTGCCTGCACTGTGCCCCCCGTCTGCGCCCCATGCTTGCGCAGTGGCTAATTCTGGCATCTCATCAGACAGTAATTATGGGGGAATCAGCAGCGCTGTCATCTCTGCAGCTCGGCACCTGTCACCACGCTGTCCCCAGGCTGTTGGTACAGGACCAGAGGCTGAGGAGGAGGGGTGGACTCAGGCGAAGGGCCCCTGCTCCCTTCCTGCCTCTTGGCCCTCACCTCCCAACCTTCCCACCTCGAGGGCAAGCAGTGCACATCAGCTGAGTGGCCCTGGCCACCCAAGGGCTCCCTGTCACCTAGAGCAGACACAGATGTCATGTGTCACATGGACACACACCCATGACCAAACAGCAGGCAGAAGGATAAAGCAAGCCGAGGCTCAAGTTGAAGTCTGCCACCTCCCATGTGTGACCTTGAACAAGTCATTTGATCTGTTTCCTCAGTGGCAAAACGGGGAAATAATGCACAGGAAATAAGGTCGATCAGGTATCTCCTAGCCCAGTGCCTGGCCATTACGGTCACGTAGTCATTTAACAATCAGAACACATTCGCCATGTGCCAGGCAGTGGTGGGGACAAGGTCGATGGCCACCCTGTGGCCACCTTGGGGCCCAGGCATCTTGTTGGTTTGGGTGAGTTTTGTTATTGTTGTCGTTTCTTTGGGTTTTAGTGTCTACAAGAAGCACACGTGCCCCTCTCCTTGCCACAGTCCCCACTGTTCCCTGTGGTCCTCATCCACTGTCTTGCTCATGTCCTGCCATCCAAGGCAGTGTGTTTGCTGCCTCCAAGAGCAAAAGTAAACCAGTGGGCAGCTGGAGAGGCTGAGGCAGGAGGATTGCAGTTCGAGGCCAACCTCAGCAACTCAACGAGATCTTGTCTCTAAATAAAAAAATAAAAGGGCTGGGGGTACTGGGACTGAGGCCCAGTGGTAGAGCGCTCACCTAGCATGTGCAAGGCCCTGGGTTCATCCTCGGCACCAAATAAAAATAAATAACATAAAGGTATTGTGTCCAACTGCAACTAAAAAGGGGGGGCCTGGGGAAGTGGCTCAGTGGTTAGCACCCTGGGTTCAATCCCCCGTCCAAAAAAAAAAAGGTAAACTAGCAGGCTGCTTATATATAGAACCGACTGTTCAAGGCAGATCACAGGAAGAGATTAGACAGGGCTCTGGGGCTTCAGAGAGGGGAGACCAGAGGTGATGGGGAAGGTGGCTGAGGGCGGGGCAGAAACAGGAGGGGATAAAGGAGGCAGCTGGGTGCCCCCTGCTAAACTCTGCTTCATGATCTCAGATTCCCACATGGCCAGGCACACGGTAGGTGTGGACTAATTGTTTGCTGAATGACTATGTGAGCAATACGTGGGCCGGGCATAGCCCTGGAAGAGGAGCCACAGGGCTAAGGCTAATGAAGCTGCTGAAGCCCGACCTGGTCCAGTAAAGACATCTCAGAAGGAGCAGGGTTGGGAGGAGAAGGTGGGCCTGAACCTGAGCCGGCTCTTAGTGGCAGGGACCACAGAGGAACCTCACTTGCAGAAAGAAGTGAGGCAAAAGCATCTTGTATGCAGATGAGGGACAGGGGCTAGACCTAAGAAAGAGGAAAGCAGGATGGAAGGAGAGGGCATAGGGCGTGAGCTGCCCTGGAGCCTGGCGGTATCTGTCTGGCCCTAAACTTAGCCCTCTGCGTGGGCGTCTCTGCCTCCTCCCCAGTGAAAGAGTCCACCGCCTGGAGCCCAGGGTTCGGCTGTGATGGCGAACCCAGCCCAGGGCCCAGGCGGCGCTCCACACGACTGGGCCTGGGCGTTAGCATTTTCCTGATGATCAGTGACTCTTCCAAAACTCCAAATGACTAAAGGAGCACCCACAGCCCACAGAGGAAGCTCGGGTCTCTTCTGAATGCAGGTCAACAGCGAGGGGCTGTGCCCACGGTCTGTCCAGCGCGTGGCGGCCTCTACCCCAGACCACTCGAACCCCCACTGGGCACTCCAACAATCTTCCCCCGACGGTTCCAGAATGCATCCAGATCTCGTTCCACTCTGGGTGGCAAAGCCAAGGCTGGCATTGCTCCACCTTTTTATAGATGCACAACCTCCCCGTCCTCGAGGTATCCCCGAAGAGCAGGGAGAAGGAGAAGGGGAGTGGGCCTCTGCTGGAGGCCCGGCCTCCTCCCAGCTCCCTGCCGCAGCCCACCCGGTAGGCGGTAGGCGGAGCCTTTGTGTGGGGAAGGCAGGTGGCCCTGAGTCCGGGAGGGGCGGGGAGGGCTTTTCCTCTCCCTCTCCCTCTCCCTCTCCCGCGGCGTCCAGGACGGGGGAGGGAGCGGCGTCCTTGCTCTTTTAGGAAAACGGTAATTTTAATTAAGAGGCAGACAAACGAGCGCTCTGCAGATTGTCTCAGAGCAAAGTTATTAAAAAGCTATCAAGGCGGCCGCAGCCACCGTGGCAAGGAGGGCGGCCTCCCCAGGCTGTCCGCCCGGGTTGGGGCTGAATCTCAGCTCAGGGCTGCAGAGGGCTGGAGGCTGGGGCCGGAGGACGCTCCAGGCAGGAGGGAGCCAGCAGCTCCCAGATAGTGCCCAGGACACGGACTGGCCACCTGAGCAGGGTGGGGACAGGCAGCCCTGCAGCAGGCCGGGTGCCCAGCACTACTTTCCTTTACTCTTCTCAACCATCCCCCTGTTCCACAGGCAAGAACAATGAGGCTCAAAGAGAGAAAGCGGCTAGTCCGAGGCCACACAGCTGGGAGACGGCTTCAGTGGGGATGTGAATATCACTGACTCACTCTGCTCTGCGCTGTTGATCCCACACGGGCAGTGGGGGGCTCTCTCCCCATATCCCTCCCCAGCCTAGGTGCTAGATGCCCTCGGAAGCAGCCTCCGCAGTAGCCTAACAGTGCTGCCTGCAGATGCCAGGGTCGCCAGGCACTTGGAGCCACTTGGAGTCACTGCTTGCTTGGTGGAGTCACAACCAGAGGGACACCATCAGGTTGGGGGATACTCTACAGGGACATAAACAAAGGAGCTGCCAGCAGGAGGAGCAGGCACCAATATGGCAACAGTGGACAGACGGTCACCTCCCTCAGGAGGTGACAGGTGCCCTGTAGTCAGCTGGCCGGGCCACAGCAGCTGCTCAGCTGAGCCCTGCATCACCTGTGCTCACAGTATGAGGACCGTCTCTGTCCTGGTCACCAGTGGCCTCTGAGCCTGGCCCGGGCTGCACAGAGAAGGTGGTTCGCGATTTGCCACGAGCACCAGTGAGCGAGGAGCCAGCAATCCGGCAGGTGAAAGGCGAGCCCAGGTGGGCCAGAGCCTGGCAAGCCCCCGTCAAGGTCGGAGGGCGCCCACCTCCATCTCCATGGAGGCCTCTTGCCTGGATCCCTCTCCCCAGGTGGCCACCCCTCCTGGGAGGACCAGCCAGTGCCTCTAGCCCGATCCCAGCCCAAATTACAAGGAGGCTATGCCGCCCCACACACACATGTACACGCCCACGTGCTGGCGCGCGCGCACACTCACATGCACACATAGACACAATTTCTGCCAGGCAAGGCGCCCTCCCCAGAGCTGGGTATCTGCTGTCCCCTCCCCTGGCAAAGACCTCGGCCCACCAGGGACAGCCCCTCCCCCGTCGCGGGCCCTCCAGGCTGGGGAGGGGTCTGACTAAGGACCCGGGGGCTCCCTCCTGCTTACTAACCTGGAGACTTTAAACAGAGGGAACACAGTCCTGGAGGCTTCCCTCCCGCCGCTCGCTGGAGCCCTGGGTGAGGGACAGGAAAGGAGGAGAGTCGTGAATGAGCGCCCAGACAGGCCCCTAGAGCAGCTGGGGAGAGCAGGGGCAGGGGCAGGGCTCACAAAGTGGTAGGGCAGGGCCAGAGGCCCTGGAGGGACCAGGGACAAAGCAAGGCAGAGCCTTAGGAGCTGTCCCTTTGGGGTCACCAGGGTCTTGGGGGCAGCAGGATAGAGACTGGGTCTTGGAAGAAGAGCAGGGACATCAGTGGAAGACAGACAGGAGGACAGACAGCAAGACAACACAGAAGACATGGGGTCCCCAGAATAGGGTTCCCAGGACAGACAGTCCATGAGCCAGGCCTGGTTCTTCTCTCAGAAACAGGGCAGACTTTTCTGGGGTGCCTAGGCAAGATCCCAAGTGATAGCACCTTGGAAGGCCCATCTGCCTCCACCATGGAAGGTCACCCCATCCTGGAAAGCCAGTGAGTTCTGGCTTTGGAAGAGCCTGTCAGGGTGGCCCTACTGCCCACCCTCTCTCCAGCCCCAGAGGTCCCCGTCTGCTCCACTCACCCCTAACCCTGAGGAAGTCCCCCTGGCACACATGGAGGAGGCAGGCACCACACTCTGACAGGCACTCACACACTCACACTGCGATGGGCTGGCAGAAAAACACACCTGGCCCAGACCCTCCTGAAGCCGTCCCCTAGCTCTGCCCCAAGCCCAATCTCCAACCGCCTTCAGGTTGGAGAGTCCCCCCAGTTGTCCATCCTGCCTTTCCCTCACCCTGCAGGAAGTCCTCTCTAAATCTGCTCTGTCTCCACGGGGCTGCAACACCTCTCTACTGCCTTCACCCTGGGCAGGCAGCACCAAGACCTTCCTGCCTGGGGACACTGTGGCCTGGGGACCCACTCCTCACAGCCCTCACTTGGCTGGCTCAGACCTATCCATACGCACATCACGTCTGGCTGCAAGCGTTCCCAGAGCCCCCTGCCAATCTCATGGTTCCAATTTTCCCACCGATTACCCAACACGCGGACATCCCAGGGAGAAACAGCTGTCATCCCCAGATGTTGGGACATTGACTGGGGAAGAAATCAAGAATGCTCACTGATGTCTCCAGCCCCAGAGGGCTTTCTGGGTGGGGACAGGGTCGGGGCTGGGAGGGGAGAGAAGCAGAGAGACACAGGGGCACAGAGGACCAGGGGAGACTGCGAGACCTATCTTCCTTCCTTCCTCTCACCAGCCTGAGTGGCAGGCAGCCCCAGAGGTCCAGCCCCAGGTGGGTCAAGAGGGTTTCCTCACATAGCCCCTTCCTCTGTGGAGGGTGGTCCCCCATTCAGTCATTCACAGTGATGAGGAGGAGGAACACCAGGAAATTACTATTTACTGAATGTTTATAATGGGCCAGCAACTCTGCCTATAATACTTCTTTGAATTCAGGGATGCAGCACTAGGAATAGCCTTGAATTACAGATGAGGAAACTGAGCCTCACACAGGTGAAGCAACTTGCCCCAAACCACACAGCAAATGAGTACTGGTGCTGGGATCCCAGCCTTGATCTATCTGACTCCAGAGTCTGAGCTCTTGGCCTAGAGCTAACCTGGCTCCCATCAGTCTTTGGCTCTCATTCAGTGCCCTTTGGGAAGTTCTACCCAAAGTCTAATCTCTTTCCATTGCATGCTTCAGCATGAACTATCTCCTAAGGGCAATTAGGTGGAAGAGGAGATTTTCTTCAGTCTCTTTTTACCTCTTCCTAGGAAAGGGAGGCAGATGATTCTAACTGGGGTGGCCAGATGGGCCAAGGGAATGATGAGCTGTCAGGGTCACAGAGGTGGGCCCAGGACTTCCTGAGCTTCATTCATCTTCAGTTGACTTCAGTCTGTCCCTTTTCTGCCCTGCCCTTCCCTCCTCCATCACAGAGGCAGCAGTAGAAAGCCCCTCAAAGGCCCCTTCTTGTTCTGCCAACCAGAAATCCTAGAGCATCCAGGCTGGAGAAGCCAGAACACCTGGGGATCAACAGAGAGAGGGTCTGTATCAGTCCCAGTAGTGCTCACTTTTCCTCTTAGCCCCAGCTTTCAACTTATAATGCCACTAGGGACAACAATTTGGGACTCCTCAGGCCAACATGGCCACCGGCTGGGGACAGAGTATGGAGGGCCAAGGAGAGGTGGCAGGCAGGCCCAGAATGCATCTACAGGGATGTGTCGGCATGGTCACAACCAGCCAGTTGGGAGTGCCATTCTCCCTCAGGTAGGTATCTGGGGCACTGCCAAGGATACCATCTGCATCTGCAATGATCAGGCACCCAGGGGCATGGAGGAGGCACAGGGCAAGTCCCTGTCTCCCTGGCCCCTGCCCCCTCCACTCAGCACAACACCTCTAGCTGGGGCCTTTCTAAGGGGTCTCTGGGCCAGAGGCCTCTTGGTAGATGGAGTCTGAGGTCCCCACCATGTTCCTGGGTCTGGGATTTCATCATGCTCTGTGGCTGGGATGGAAAGAAGCCAGTGTACAGAGATGAGGATGTTTGCAGAGGTGAGAGTAGCAACATGGGGAAAATCCAACTCCTTTCCAGTTTTAAGAAACTCCATGCCGGGACATGCAGGCAACCAAGCCGGCTGGCTGACTGTACCTAGAACCTGGGTTAGGCTGTTGGGGAGCTGAGCCACCAGCTGGACCAGCCTAGAGAAGGAAAACGTGGACTGGATTATAGTCTCTAGATGGAATGGAATGTGGCAAAGCCAGTTCATATAGGAGGAGGAAGACTGTGGGGTTATGGTTCAGAGGACAGTTGAACCCTCTGGCCACTCCCTTACCCATCCACTAGACTGAAGGACAGATTAGGCAAGGTGAGTCTTCAGAACAGAAGGGGCTATTATAAGACCTGAGTTGTGTGCACGCGTACACAAGCTCCCCCATATTCTCTTGGCCCAAATCTCCATTTCTCCTGGCTTAGCTAAAGCTGGGGAAAGGTTCTTCCCACACTTCGTGTGGCAAGTCATGTATTATCTCAGGAGAGAGGAGGTGGGTAGACTCTGTGACGACTGGAAGGAGCTTCAAGTCCTTCTGGTCTATCCTTTCTACTTATACCAAGGACAATGGAGACCAGAGGTGGGCAGTGAAGTCACCAGTGTCACCCAGCAGCAGGGTAGACAGGCAGCTTGGACACGGGGCCAATGCTAGCTAGTTCTTCACCTCTGCATCCTCTTCCCCAGCAACTCAGGACTCCTCTCCATCAAGGCCCCTATATTCTGCCAGTCACAATAGTAACACCCCTCTGGATGGCCAAAGGTTATCTGGAAGGTCAGGCTAATCAGTCTTCTGGCCCTAGACACAACACCAGCCTACCTGAGCGCATAGATCTACCAGTGAAATGAAAATACCACTGAGCTCCCCACCTGAAAGGGACCTCCCTTTATGGAAACTAGATGGGAAGTTTTTCTTCCTATCTAGCCCCAATTCTTCCTGCTGCAGCAAAGGCCTATTTCCTCTCAAGCTGTCCTGTGCAAAGACAGGGGGAGGGAGAGAAGAGCAGATTTCCAGCCTCCAAACCCTTCTGTTTGCCCACTCCCAGCAGAGAGGATGAGGGCAGGGTGTCCCAGGGGGCTGGCCGTTAGCCTAGTGCATGTGTGGGGCCTGAAGGGGGGTAGGGGGAGCAGCAGTCCAAGCAGGGGAGAAACAGATCTTCTAGGAATTATTCCTCCACCTCCTCAGCCTCTGTCAAACCCAAAGACTCAGACTTAACGAGGGGGTTTCTCTGGGTTCATGAACACATCATTTATTGAGTATTTATTACGTCAGGCACTGCAATGGGTGTTTTTATGTTATTTCATTTACCCGTCACAAAATTCTATGATCAGAAACTCATTTGTCTCCTGGGACAGTCCTTTCCTAAGACTAGGTCTAACCTTGATCTTTCTTGCTGCATTTCTATTGGTTGTCCTCTTTGGTGGTGGAGGGCATTCTGTTCCTGTCTTCAGAGAGTCTCATCATTATTCGGGTGGCTCCACATTATCTTTTCCAGGCTGCCAACCTTTACTCCAGCCTTGTCCCAGGTGACAGGTGATATGTGGGTGAAAGGGACCAAGGCCAGGACTGAAGGCTGGGATCCAGGGCACTGCCCAATGCCAGATATTGAGCACAAACCAGGTAGCCGCAGAGGAAGCCCTGGGGAAAGTCCTCACGAGATCAGGCGGGGCTGACAGGTAGGAGCCAACTTGGAGCTAGCAGGCTGTCCCTCCTTGGTGATGCCTGCGGCCCTCAGAGGGGCCTGGAACCTGCCTTTGGTACGATAACTAGAAAGGGCCCAGAGAGGCTGTGAATGGCCTAGTCTTTCTTTCTTATTTTTCTTTGTCTGAATTTTTTTTTTAGTTGTAGATAAACACAATACCTTCATTTTATTTATTTATTTTTATGTGGTGCTGAGGATGGAACCCAGGGTCTCACACCTGCAAGGCAAGCGCTCTACCCCTGAGCTACAGCCCTAACCTAATCTTTCTTAATGACCATCTCTAAGGTCCGTGGTTCAGCCCACATACCTGGAGCCCCGGGACCTGGGCAGAGGCACAACCTGGCCAGACTCATCAGGGACTATGGATGGGAGCTGGAGCAGAGTGGGAGTTCTTGCACCTACGGAAGCTTCTGGCATCTGGAAGGCCAGAGGCATATGACCATGCTTCCCTGTTTGGACTTTTTAGGGCAGGACAGGGATTCCCTCCACCAAAGCCATACCTTGGCCTTAGATCTAGCAAAGCTGGGATGCAGGGGCCAGGCCCCCCTCCCCAGGGAATGCTCAGCCTCAGCTTCCACCCTCTGGGAAACTGGAGCCGAAGAAGCCTGGACCAATGGGCAAGGGGAGTCAGAATGGTGGGTGGGACTCTAGGCCGGTGTGGGTGGTGCTCTCCTTCTTCAAGCAGGCACTATTAATATATGCAAAGCATATGCAAATAACCCAGAAGAGAGACACAACATCGCCCGGAATGTCAGAAGAGACCTTGGAGATCATCCAGCCCACGCCCCCTCATTTCACAGGTGAGGAAAGAGTCCCCGGTGGGAAGGGACTTGCTCAAGGTCACACAGACACTTGGGTACCAAGGACAGATCAAAATTAGGTTTCTTGATCTAGTCTAGGGCTCTTTCTGAGATTGGCCAATAGGTCGAAGGGGACCCAGGGCCTGGAGGGGGCTCAGGCAGTCCTACGGGGGGGGGGACTGAGTGGAGAGGACTCTTGGGCCCCTCCTCCCCACCTTGGAGCCTGGAGGCCGATGGGTGGGTGTGTGTGTCCTCCAGTGTACAAGGACAGCAGCGATCCCTGGATCCCTGGGAGGCCAGAGGGTCAGAAACCAGGGGCTGGGGCTCTGGAGAGGGAAGCCTCAGGGTGACTGAAGTATCTGAGGCAGGGGAGGAAGAGCCCAATGTCAAGGCAAGGTGCCCGCTGTGCTGAGGGGAGGGGATGTGCCCTTGCTGCGTACACACACACACACACACACACACACACTCTCATCCCTAAGTGCACAGCGGCCCCCTTCTGCCTGGACACTGATAACAATAACACCTGACAGACCAGCCAGGCCATCCCTTCGGAGGCTGCGCTGTGGCTGCTTTGCACACCACCCCCTTGGCTTCACAACCTTCCAGACAGTCCTAGAAAGCAGGAGGGAGAGGGAGGGAAGACAGGTAGAGGGAGCGGGAGCAGCCAGAGGGAGGAAGGGACTTGAGAACTGGGAGAAAGGGAGCGCATGAAGGACAGAGCAGGAGAAACCGAGGGGCAGGGAGGGGAGACCAGGCAGAACATGGGGAGTCTGGGTGGCAGGGAGGAGAGAGAAGGGGTGGGGAAAGATGGGGGTGGGGCAGAGAGTAGGGGGGGGGCAGCAGATCAGAGGAGGATGCCCAGGGACCTGAAGGACAATGCTAGAGCCCAGGATGGGGTCCAGGAGCCCTGGCAGTGAGCGCCTAGGCTATCTGGCAGAATTTGGGGACCAGGCCTCTGCCCCTCTGCCCACCTCCCCAGCTACTCCCTTGGCTGCCAGGAAATCAGTCCTCCCTCCTCTCCGCCTCCCTCCCTCCTTCCCTCCCTGGGGGCCTTCGCAGCCAAATCCAAAGCCTTCATCTCCTCTTTTCAGAGCCTGGAATGAAAGAAGGGGAAGCGAGTGCAGCCCTCAAACCCGCTGACGGCCAGATTTTTATTATCTTTGCTCGAATGGGCCCTGGGAAGCCAACTAGGGATTCTTCAAAGAGCGTCTGAGTGCCTCATTGAAGCCGGCACCTGCATCAGCCCACCCACGGCAGGCTGCTGGGGTTTGGGGGGCACAACCTGTCCCCACCCCCCACCAGTGCTAGGAACCAGATCATAGGCTGCCAGCAGCCTCACGCTCTGCACCTTGTGCCCGGGTCAGAAAGCCAGGCTCAGCAGCCAGACCCGGGCCGGCTGGGCATCTAAGGCAGTTTCTGTCCCTCTCTGGGCCTTTTGGACACAAATAAAGGAAGAAAACAGATCTCCTTGCCAGGGCTTGGAGGAGATAAGTGCTTAGGATTCCTCGAAAGAGAAGCTTTTATGGCAAGCCCTGGAGCCTTCTCTTGGTACTTGCCCAGCACCCACAGGCTTCCTCCACTGCCTGGACCCCTCTTGGAAAGACTCACTCCCAACACAGCTGCCTCTGCCTGTGCCCCAGGCCCACTACTCAGAAGGAAAGACACTATGACCTTTCTTTTCTCTAACCCTAAACACAGTTCCAGCAATTCAGATCCTCAACCCTGTCTTCCTTCTTTCTAACCCAGGTGGGGTGAAGTGGGGGCGCTAAGCAGACCAGGTACATCAAAGAACCCAGCCCCTTCCCCCTCAGCACTTCCAGCGCTGGCAGGGGTTTTGGCAGAGAATAGCAAGGTTGGCACTGGGCAGACAGCAGCGGTGCCACCCCCGCCCCCATCTCTGACCACACCATTGAGATCAATGCCCGCAGCCAAAGAAGGAATCAATGGTTCTAATTAAACCCTCTTTCCAGGGTGGGTCCCTGGCCAGGGAGAGAGGAGAGAGAACACCAGAGAGGCCCTGCATCCTGAAAAATACCTTAGACATCTTTGAGAAGCCTGAAGCTCTGCAGAAATCAGGCCACGAAGACCCCAGGCCCCTGCATTAGGCAAGAAGGCAAGTAGAACGCTGGGGTGAACCTCTGGGATTGGGGTAAGCCTCCAAAAGGCATATTCTAGGGACCCCTCCCCTTTCCTTTCCCTGTCTGACACCACAGTTGCTTCTTTCAGAAAGATCTCCAGAGCACAGATAGCAAGAACCAGAAGGGGGACCCACAGCATCTCCTTCGGAGCCCTGAGGGTCATCGCAGAGAATCAGCCACGGCAGAAAAGGCGGAAGGAGCAGGACTTGGGGGGGGTGCACTGGACAAAGACCCTCTTGTCCCTAGGCAGGGTGGCAGGAAGCCAGGGCAAAGCCTTTGCACTTGCTGCCAATGGTGCCTGGGTGCCAGGCAGTCTGGGTGGGGAGCCGGGGGGGATATTATTCTTGGAGCCCCCTCCCCTTATCCCAGAGTCCTCACCCCCATTCCTTGCTTCTACACCAGGCCACCAGCTAGGTCTCTGTCCCAGCAACTCTTGCTTGCCTGAAACCTCTCTTTCCTGTGATGCTTGTCCAGAGTGGCCCCAACATCAACCATAGCCAGCCAAACCCTAAACACGTACATCATAACTGACCCCACATACACACACATGCACAACCTCGCCAGAAAACACAGCCAGCCCCCCTGCCACCTGTGATGACAGAGTCTTACATTTCACAGTGACAGTCTCTGTCAAATGCATCATCAATTTTTTTAAGACCAGCCAGCCGGGGAGCAAAGGGAATGAGAGAAACTGAGGCACAGAGTTAGACAGCAAAGCAGTTGGTTCAAGGTCACCCACACCAAGATTCCCAGAGTCCAGAAGGTATTCTAACCCCCCCTAGAGTGCTCAACCCCCACCCAAAGGAACATTCAGACCCACAAATCTCAAGTCGGGTCAGCTTCCTTCACTCCCCACCCTCATCTGTTTCCTTTTCCCCAAAACAGACAGAAGCTCCTATAGCTCCTTTGAAGAGCTTCTGACAGAAATCTCCAGCTCGAGGACCTCACTTCCCTCAAAGTTGGGGGCTGTAGGACCTCCTGGTCCTGCGAGGTCCTGCAGAATTTGAGGAGAGAGGCTGGAAAAGACGGTCCAGGACCCCCTCCTTGCCCACAGCCCTGATCCGGCTCACCTGGCTCCCCTCGGCCCCCAGCGTCCCTTGGTCCAGCCTCCTCCCGGGGAGCGCGGGCACTGCCCTCCGCGGTCCTCTCCCACCAGGCCAGGGCAAAGCGCCGGAGGCACTGCCAGGGCTGCATGGGGAGGCGTGGGGCTGGGGGCGCGTACCAGCAGCCGCACACGCCCCGCCGGGCCCTGCCAGCCTAGCTGCGGAGGCACCCGGCCGGCCCCCTCTGCTGCCACCAGCATCCTGCTGCCCCCACCGACAGGACTAGGAGCTGGCCCGGGAGCTTCTGACGTAGCAGGGGGGTGCGTGGGAGGGAAGGGGGGGCCACCGCGCGTCTTAGCCCCAGCCCCGCCCTCTGTTCCTGGGCCCACCCCAGTCCCTATCTCTTCATTCACCCTGGATGCCCTCCCCAGCTGGGGGCGCCCTCCCCTGCCCTCTGGCCTCTGCAGGGGGAGGGCTTAAGATCAAATAGCCCCTCCCCCAGCCCCTCCCTCTCGTGGGCCCTCCCAACCCGCCAGTGGAGCAGGGAGCAGGTCCCCAGTTTCTGCAACTGCTGCTGAGGCTCAGAGGTCTCCAGGGCTAGGGCCTCGAGGTGCAGGGGGGTGGGGGGTGGAATACGGGCTTGTATCCTGGCAACACAGCCAACCCCAGAACGCACTCAGCCCCTTTCTTCCCTGGGGGGCTGACGTGAAGGGCCCATTACCACCAACCCCAGCCTGTACCCCATTCTGGGAGCTGGGGCAGGGGAAGGCCTTTGATGCTCCTCACTTCTCCATCCCCATCCCCTCCCCCTGTAGCCTCCTCTGCCTCCACCTCCGATGGACCACTCCCCTCCCCCCACTCTCCTCGCCATCCATCCCCCTTCTTCTTCTCCCACCCCTCCCCCTCCACAC